GACCAATGGCGCGCTCTCGTCTCTTGTGTCCCCCTCGCGGCTGACGTGCTTGACAGGACATCAGTGTACTCGTTGGCCTTCCTCTCGTCAGATGGTAGAGCGATCGATTGTTGCTTTTCGTTTGGGGCGTTTTCGGCCTCGCGCTCGCATCCATCAGAAGGCATGTCACGCCGATCACGTGGCTCTCCATCGATGTTACCTTCCTTCACGGGTGGCGGCTGTCGGCCTTGCGTGAATTATTTCGCCTGTCCTATTGTCCCATTCTGAGTGGACGTAAGCCTTGTGCGGAGCGCCTGATAAGCGGGGTTTAAGTCGGGGGCTCAGTTTGGTGTGCCCGTCGTGGACCAGCTTTCCAACATCAGTCTGGCCATTTTATTTGCTCGGGCAATCACCGCTGCTTTATCAAAGTCGTGGTTCTGCTGTTGTACGTGGCCGTATACCTTGCGTTTGATTGCAGGCTGGTGTTCGTGCAATTATGTACCGATGCGTTTGCCGGTTTCGCCAACGTACCTTGCCCGACAATGTTGACATGGGATGCTATAGACCAGGGGTCGGCAACCTTTTTGACTCAGAGAGCCAAGAAAGCAAATATGTGGAAATATATTTCAGTGAGAGCCATACAATATATTTTACGATTAAATTAAATGTGAGTATAATAGGCCTCTCGATTTATTCTTTTAAATAATGCTCTTATAATACTCATTGTTAATGCGACTTCTGCTGCTGCATGGATTCATTGATGGCTTTGTAGTCTGGTTGGTAGTTGGTGAGGTTAACCCTCATGCAAGCGTTGAGGCTTTCATCCATTAGACGTAATCGTAGGGTGGACTTGATGTATTTAAGATGTGCGAATGACTGCCCACATGCATACGCAGATCAAAACAAGGTTAATACAGCAATACTCACACGCTGCAGTGTGTGGTATGTGACAGGAAGCTTGTTCCAAGTTTTGTTTATCTGCTGGTCTTCGAGTTGAATTTTTTTAATTTCCGTCCACATGTGCTTGCTTGCCAACTCCGCTTATGTCGTACGATTCTTTCCAAATCTTCATTGGGTGACTTGACCTTATTCACCAACGTGTCTGAGGCCTTCAGGTCAGCCATTTCTTCTCCGAAATCTCGAACGGAGACACCAGGAATACAACTTAGGTCGGCTGTGTTTGGTGAACACTCGGTTGGATGGATGATGGACTTAAGAAGACGAGTTTGCTCACGGAATTCACTAAAGCCTGCTTTGAACGACTGTAGGAGACTGAATGTGAGGCCGGCTAGCTGGTAGAGATCAAAGTTTTGAGTGGGTCTACTTACTGTTCATGTATCTATGAATTGTCTCAGATATTCAAAATGTAGTAAACGATCTGTTTCAAGATCCATGATAAAGAGTTCCAGCTTGTTTTCAAAAACAAACACGGCTTTTTGAAGGGATAACACTGCATTTCCATTGCCTTGCATTTTAAAGTTGAGTTGGTTCAGATGTTCGGTCATATCTAAGAGGTAATAAAACATGAGGAGCCACTCAGTTTCGGCTAACTCGGGATGCTCAATGTCCTTCATTTCAAAGAAGGTCCGTGTTTCGTTTAGGCAAGCCACAAAACGGCTAAGCACCTTCCCTTTTGACAACCAACGTAAATTGCTGTGCAAAAGCAGACCGTGATAGTTATTCCCAACTTCATCCGGCAGTGTTTTAAACTGTCGATCATTTAAGGTTCGGGCAACGATAAAGTTGATCACATGAGCTGCCAAGCTGCCCATCACACAATCGAGCACAAAGTGCCTCCTGGTGAAGAATGCAATGGAAACATAGAATCGGTCTATTTTCATATTCACAGAGAAACGCCACAAATCTTTTGTTTTTCCCCACCACCGGGAGCACCATCAGTACACACTGAGATAAGTTTATCCATAGGTATTTTTTTCTTCAGCGAACTTCATGAAAGACTTGAATAAATCTTCATTTCTTGTGGACCCTTTTATTGGCAAAACAGTAAGACTTTCTTCGCGCAGTGCATCACCAGCAGCATATCTTGCAACCACACTGAG